TAACTCGTTATTTATTAAGTTTATATCAATTAAAATAAGTTAAGTTAAAAATTAAGTTTACGAAAATTAAATTTTAAAAAGTTAAGTTAAAAGTTAAAATTAACTTAACTTTTAACTTTTTAACGCGTTTATGCCCAGGCTTGCATATTACTAAGGTTTATTATTGCTGTGCTTGGGGCTGTTCAAATAAATTATATCCCTCGGTATGCTGCTATTTGTATTAGAGTAAATTATGAATAAACTAACAATTTTTCTTGCATAAACTATATATAAAAACTTAACTCCACTCAAAATCTGTWTAAAATAATAATTGTTTTTAAAGATTATTAAGTTTAAACATTATAATATTATAATTATAAGTACCTATAACAGTTTATTTTATAACACTGTTGTTCAATTGCTTATCATCAATAATATAAAACATAAACATTCACCTCTTAGATAAGGATGGCGGCCATTTTACTGGCGACAATAATAATATCGAAGTTGGCTATCTAGTATTTTTATATATCTGTGGTAGCTACTATCTATTGACTATCACACTTCGATAACAGAAAACGATTGTCGATTTTAATCGTGTTTCGTACAATGTAGATTCATAGTATTCATACATATAAGCACTGGTAGCACTCATCGTRTGACCACAAGTTTGAAAAAAGTTATAACTTAAAAAGTATTATTTATCTATCTATCTATTTCTAAGCTGAACTCGCTGGGGGCGCAGTTGCATACCCTGCACCCTGTGTGCACGCCTATGTTTTCTTATGCAAGTACCTGATCTAAGGACTAATTTTATTATACTTTAATATTAATCATATTATATAATCATTCAGTAATATTCATTATATTTTGATACGATTTCCAAAAAAAATAATTATAGGTACATTAATTATAAACTATGGTATCATCCCATTTCGCCGAATCCCACTTGGACGACAAAAAAACCAGTTTTATATGGATTGATAATAAATCCCATTTGGCTTAATCCTATTTTTCCTAATCCCATTTTGCCGAAAACCACGGGTTATTACTCGGGGCTTGGTAAGTTCCCACACGAAACATAGCACGTAAGCGAGTACATATGTAAGTTCCCACTCGAAAAAAATTACGGCCGTACGTAAGTTCCCACACGGAAAAAGTTAAGTTATTAAGACTTAGGAATGAGAACTTAAAATTTGTTTTATTTTTGTATTAGATAAAA